ACCAATCACGGCTTTGATACGGCCACTAGTGCAGGTGAAGAGATGTCGGTGAAAAGACAGTTTCAGTCCGGCGCAAAAAACAAAACATGAAGAAACTAGCGCATCACTCGAAGGTGGGTTATTGTATGAGTCAAATGTACAACTTACGAATGTTGTATAAGTCAAATTGCCAATTGCCATCTTAAAACATCAGCTGCAATTCACGACATGAAGAAGGCAGTCTCTGCAGAGCATATAGGCTAATGGAGATGCAGTTATTTCCAGCATTCTTTATTTACCATTCATTCATTATGTTATGCCTTTTATCTGCTAATGTAGAGGAGGAAGAGTGATACACTGTCTGTTTACTTGGCTTACATAACAGTTAAAGTTTACAGCCTAAAAAACATGGAGCATTTTTTCCCCTTTTATTCATTTGTATGTCAATTTGCACATTTCATGCTGATGCTCAGCCTCTCCCCTTAACTCCTAACAGTCATCATCATGTCAACCACAACACAGAGAAATACTGATAGAAATGTGTGTGTAGTTGTTGATACATTGCTGACAGAGGGAACTAGAATACAGATTTAAGAAATATCAGTTTTTGAGCATGTCATAAGCATGTTTTGTCTTGACTATACAACTATATTATAATAAAACAATATAGTATTTTTATTATTGAATTGATTATGATTATCATTATTAGTAGAAGTAGTTTATTTGCATTAATTATGTTTTTATCTTTTTGAGGCTAGTATTTGGCAGGAAATGCAAAATTCACCTGTAAACCCATACTGAACGACATACATGCACATTTACCATTTACCTCACTGTATAAAAAAGTAACTGTTGATAATAATAATAATAATAGGCTCATCTCACAATGTCGCTTGGGGCCCCAAGTTGGCCAGGGGCGGCCCTGCTTACAGTTGATCCTGAGTCCTGTCAGTTAAAGTGTTTCATAGTTAGCTTAGCTAAGCATCAACCTAGCACTGAAATATATGGATGTTATGTGACAGCATTTCTGAGAAAAAGTCAGCTGAAATGGTGGTATAGTTGCCGCTGCGTGTCAACAGCATGTTTGAACGTATTTGCAGCAGTAAATGTGGCTGTTTGGCCACTGACGTTGCCATAACAACACCTGAATTTAAATGTGCAACCTCTTTTTGTGACAGATTTTTGCAAGAAATGATAATTCTTCTGAATGATATTCCTATTGACAGCTAGTTTCTATGTGAACATTATGATATGGACAGCCAGAGAGAATACATGAAAAACAGTTATGAAATACTATATGACAAAACAAGAATACAGTTTAAAAGGGGAGTGATTTGTAAAATATCCATAAAGAAAAATCTGTTTACATTTCTGTTTCATATGGGTGTTAAGATATGTATCCATAGATCTCTTCATTTTGCTCTCAAAAAAATCTTCCCGGGGGAGCATGCCCCCGGACCCCCCTAGAGGAGGTAAGGTCCACGGTGTTTACATGGTTATTTATACAATATGTGTGCTTATGCTAACATCATAAGACAAAAGTTGGTTCCATGTTGTGTGTAGTGAGAACGCGCGGCGGGGCCCCCAAGCCAAAGCTCGCTTAGGGACCCCAAAAGTCTAGGGCCGGCCCTGCATGCAGCTCACTGATCCAGTAATGAGTGACCCGACAGTGAAGAATAAATATATTTATAACTAGTTTAGCTTCTTCCAGAGGTAGATAAAATAGCTAAGTGTGTTTAGGTCTAACTCTTAGTGTGTGTTTTGCTCCCCCGTCCGCCCGTCTGTCACAGTGGGAGGAACTGCAGGATTTCTGCTTCACACACGTTGCATACCGCTACACCTTAAAGAGCAACTTCCAGGTTAAAGACACCTGTGAATAAATGTGTAGGAAAATGATGAATACACTAGATTTTCCAAAAAATATACAGAAATATACACTACAGTGACATCTGGCGTCGTTTTTGTAAGAAATGTTCACTTCCGCATAAAAAAGCCTCGGCACGTGACCTCCCGCGTGTGACGTAACAAAGGGTAAACAAGGGGGAGAGCGGCCGGTGTAACGTATTAATAAACAAGGATCCCAATGCTAGTTTCGACACAGAAGAAGTTGAACATGAATATTCGAATGCATATGACGGACCACAACCTTATAATTATGAGCCTGCTAGGCGTCCAAGAGACCAGGAGCAACCAAGGATTAGAAGAAATAACGGCCATCGGAGAGAAATTGAGCTGTGATGTGAGGAGAATCAGTGGAGAACTGGGCAGCTATCTTGGTGAGTGACCGGCGTTAGCTACAGAATGTTAGCTAACGTCACATCACAACATTGTGAAGTTAGCTATCATATATCAGGCTATAACTAAAGTAGCATTGATAATATAGTAACGTTACTGGCAGGACTGTTGATACTGATCCATAACAGAAACTAATGCGCAAGTATCAGCCGTATCTCGCGTTACCTAATGCAAATCCACACTACGTTACGGTGCTGTACCGGAGGGGAGAGAGAGCAGGGAAGGATGGGGGGGAGAGCAGCGAAGGGGGGGAGAGAGATGTAATACGGTTTCCTGATAAACGTTACCTAATGCAAATCCACACTACGTTACGGTGCTGTACCGGAGGGGAGAGAGAGAGCAGGGAACCCAGGACCGAAAGCTAGCTAGCTTTCTTTTCCTGTTAGGGAAACTGTGGACTCGATGTCCTGACAGGCTGGTATTTGTGCAACCTGCACAAACACAATACTGCACCATGATTACAAATGGTGAAATACAATGTAAAACTACCAAAAAATACCAGCTCACTAAAACACAACCGCTCAACTCAACGCAACTGCTAACTATACCTGCGGTCAGAGAGCGGAGATGTTTACCCTTTGTGATGTAATATGACGCGTTTGACGTATGACCTTAAAAAAAGCCGTTTTTAAGAGCAGAGCTCAAAACTGCTCCTTTCCCTCTGAATTCCTGCCCTTATGTCTCGTAAAACATATCAAATCCTACATTCACTTTTGTAATTGTAATTTTCAAGCAAGTTTAAGCATAAATGTAGAAAAAAAAAAACCTGCAAGATGCTCTTTAAAATACTGCCAGACTGGTGAAGCCATTTTGGCGAGCTTGTTTTGCCGCGCAGAGAGAAAAGTGTCATGTATTTTACGTTATAATTTTACGTCATGCGATCGACTCTCGCGATCGGCATTTTTAGAGAGCACCGATCGATCGGTAGAGAGTGAGTATCGGCCGATATCGATCGGCGGCCGATCGATCGGAGCATCCCTAAAAAATATTCATAAACTACAGAACACAGGAGTCGCAGTATGGTAGTCGTGTGGGGGGGCTGCGTCTGTGTTCAGGTTACAGATTCAGAAGAGGTCCTGCTCCTGTGGCCCTATGGGTATGTGTAGTCCGGTTCAGTAGCTCTTGGTCGAGTCTCACAAGGCAAAGTGTTCCCAGTGAGACTCAGGCCCAGTTCCAAACCGCCCCCTACACCCTACCCCTACACACTTCCCCCTGTTTGCAAGGAGGGTACGCCACGTTAAGTGCTGTTCCAATCCAACAAGTGGGGAGTGAGTTATCAAGTCCTCCAACAGAGAGTCTGCACCGGTCCGGACTTCACCTGCTGCTCTACCTGAACAACCCAACGCTGTTTCTGTCCGTCATGAAACACACTGTTACAAACAGTTCCTGCAAACATTTACTGGCAAACTGCTCCTAACAAGATAAACAATAAATATCGTCATTATCGACATTAACAACTTCATTTTATCTCAGATATTATTTTTTACTCAGGATCATTTTGTTTGTGTTTAGTCTAGAAAGAGTGCATTTTGTATATTTACAGTGTGTTGCAAAAAACCAAGTAGCTTATAAACATCCGATTTTAAAACAAAAATAAGTTTACAAAAGAGAAACGTCATTTTATTTTGGTTATCATGATTTATTTTTTGTACGAGAGATGCTGATTTAAAACCGTTGTTAAGAAAATGTACGGCATTTCCTGTTTCTGTCTGAGAAAGGGGAGGCTTTCTGACCCCTTGCAGGGACAGACCTCCTGAGCTGGAGTGGGAGTTGTATGGATTAGTTAGAGATCAGGTTACCCCCATTTCAAGTACAATATCTTGTCCCAGGATATTATGGTTGAGGTCTCTGTAAAGATGTTTTAAATCCATCTGATTAGTTGGTTTCACAGAGATCTCATGTTTTAGTGTTCATTCAATCCCTTGTTATGGTCCATGGCAATGAATGATTCGAATATTGCTCATCTGAATTAATCGAAAACACATAATTGTATTATGTAATCTTCCCAAAAGGTTTCTTTCCCATTACGTGTGCTCCAACCAGTGATGTAAGTGATGTGCAGGACACATTATCTCCATGGTTAGTGAGGTAGAGGTTTTACAGTGAACAGCTTCCAGCAGAGCACACATCTGTTCAGGCAGCACACAAACACACTGACCTGCGGAGAGGAGGGCAGTGATCCAGGCCGCACTGTGAAGCTCTTCATGTCCTCACCGAGGCCGCATGTTCCTGTGACCTCTGCTGACCCCAGACCAGTCAGCCTGCAGGCCATCAGAACACATGGACCAGTGCACTGCAGCGGCCTCATTAGTCAACACAACGCTCACTATCATCATCATCATCATCATCATCATCATCATCATCATCATCATCATCATCATCATCATCATCATCATCATCATCATCATCATCATCATCATCAGGACTGCGCAGCTTGTTGACCAATCCTTTCTTTAAAAAATACTTCAATTAAACAGATGTCTGGAACTTTTGACTCTCAATAGGATTGAGAGTTACTCCATTTTTAATGTTGGATTTTCAGTTGAATTATATTTATATTTATGGTTCAAGAAAACCCACTTTTAAAAGGATTAATTTTTGTTCGAAGTTTAAAGTCTGCATGATGTTTCCTAAATCAGGTTTTGGGCTCTGGTGGTGAGAGTCCGCCCACATACCCAAAAAGCGTGGGGCCGCCCCTGACCATTGAGCATTCAGACGGGATTAAAATCATTCCCGATACCAGCAGTTCCCTTTCCTGGCGGTTGGATGCTGCTCTTATTCCCGGCCCATCGCTCCCTCTCTGCTCCGGTACAAAGCGGCACATTGAGCTGCAGTGACACCGAGCAGCAGGCGTCCCCCGGCTCTCCGCACAGTGTCTCCCCGCTGGCCGCTGACGGGCTGCGGGACAGAATGAGGACCGGCCTCGGTGTCATCCCGCAGCCCTGCCCGCTCCGGGCTTTCTCTACTCAATACGTTAGCTAGCGAACATAATCTGTTCTGAGCCATCGAGTTGTTACTGCATACTGACGGATTTCCTGAACAGCAGACTGAGGGTTCGGACCCGATTCATGCGAGGGACCTGCGGCAGGGATCGACAGGCTCTCGGACACCGGGAGCAGCAGAGGCTCCACAGGGCGTCTGCTGCCGGCAGCTCCAACAGAACATCAGCTTACTCATGCCACAATAGGATCCTACCACCGGCAGTATTTATATTCATTAATGTTAATTATACTGGATAAAGGAGCAGCCCTCACTGGATCACCACCCTGTGCTGCCTCTCACTGTGGATTTACCGTCGACCGGCACGAGCTGTGGAAAAACGGAGACATGACATGCACGAGAAAAAAGAGGAAACAGCTTTGTGTTCTTTAAGCACTTTGATTTATAAAGGGAGTCCTCAACAGGCTTCCCTTAACACCCTTTAGGAAGATCTGGACCGTTGACACAGCTGTCAGCTCAGCAGGTGATTTACCTCTGTGTATGATGTGTGGAGCAGCCTAACGGTTCATGTGGACTGCATCGTGGACTGCATCACGGCCTGCCCGCCACAGAGTGGAGGACCAGCGGCCCAGCAGGTAAGGACCACAACATGAACACCATTTTGTGCTGCCTACAGATCCCAGGTCTGCTGCCTGCTCTGCAGCTATTAGCCTGAGTGTGTCTCTGCAGGCCCAGACTGGGACTCTCTGGGACACAGCCTTTGTCTGCCAGCCTCTACAGGGCTGTCATCTAATGAGGGGGGACATTATGCAGAGCTAAGCTAATGTTTGATGCATGTCTCACAGTAGCATGCAGTGGTCAGTGTGACACTGCTATGTTGATGATAAATAATACAGGCTTTTCACTGGCTCGCTCAGCACTGGGACAAGCAAGTGATTTCATATCATTTGGTGTAATGTGGCCCGGAGAACCCAGCTCCCCCCACCTCCCCTGTTATACACAGATCATGTGGTGTGTGGTTTAAAGCAGCCTGGCTCCTAAATGCTGGACTGCAGCAGTCACTGGCCCCCCACTCCTACATGTGAGGGGCCTGATGCTGGGCCCCTCTGTCAGAGACCAGCTCTGTCTCCGTCTCCTCCACTGGGCTCTGTCGCCTCCTCCCACCGACATTGAGCCAGAGGTATGGGGCTGCTGTTGCTACCCAGTTCCTGACAGTGACTCTGCCCTCCGCCGCCAACCAACTCTCAGCTCTGCAAAGCCCCTCCTTCAGACTCAGACCCCCAGCCTGTGGAGCTGTGAGCACTGTAACTCAAACAGAACCTGATAAAAACAGTATATGAAAGTCAAATGAATTAACCACATGTCATCCCTACATCTCTTTTGTTATCACCCTCTGATTTACATTCATAATTTCCTGTTTTCACTCTCCTTTAAGCCCTTTTTTATATGTTTGGTTTGCCTTGTATTCTTGCGTAATAATGCATGTATAACCTCAACCCTGAAAGGCATAATCAAGTTATACATATTTATTTTCAGTATAAACTAAGCTATCAGCACATCTAGACTACAAGGATGCCACATTAAGGCTTTTCCTTTTTGCTTATTTGTAATACAATGTTGTCAATCTCCTCATGTTCACAAACAGCTGATATTAGACTGTTCTTGGACTGTGCTGACAGATAACCAAATAGATACATAAATAATTGATAGAAACATTTTCAGAGGCTTCTATGTTGAAACGGCAAAACTGACATCCCCCTTTATTTGCTTTCGTCTCTTTTTATTTGTGAATAGGGTGATCTGCACAGCAGCAGTGTGAGCAGTGGTGTAGTGGGGATTTTCTTACTGGGTGGATGCTATTTGAATTAGGTCATCCCAAACAATGCCACACAGTCTCAAAACCATGGACACACCGGCACTAGGCCTGTCACGATAATTCATTTTGTTGGACGATATATCTTTACGGAAATTATTGCGATAAATGATAATATTGTCGGCACCGTTGTGAGACCATTAGACCACTGACATAATGATAATGTATCATAATAATTCAAGTACATCCTTTCAAACAGACATTTGTTATTGAACATTCGACATTGCAAATGAAATGTGAAATAATATTCAAATATATAAATGATATATAATAAATAAACAAATAAATTAAATTGTAAAAAATGTATTAAATCACACACAACCAAAACAATAAATTAAATAGTCAGGCTCTCTCTCTCTCTCTCTCTCTCCTCTCTCTCTCTCTCTCTCTCTCTCTCTCTCTCTCTCTCTCTCTCTCTCTCTCTCTCTCTCTCTCTCTCTCTCTCTCTCTCTCTCTCTCTCTCTCTCTCTCTCTCTCTCTCTCTCAATAAATATATATATATGTATTTATATATTAAATTAATTTTTTGAATTAATTGCGTTAAAATATTTAACGCATTTAACGCATGTGCAGAATGGCCCGCCCCATACGTGCCACCAGTGGCAGCGCCAGGGTATGGCTGGGGTAGGCTACACCAGAAATGGCTTAGCCCCACCATGAAAAATGATGTTAAAGTAAGCAAAATAAAGTCTGCCAACTCGCGCGGAGTAAATTGCACAGACAGCAGTTAGTAAGATTGATTTCAGTAGCCACGGTTTTGAAAACCTTTGTCACGTAGTGATCGTCTTCTCAATAGAACATCTTTGATAACGGCGTGGTGTTGTTGCAGGAAGTCCCGACGGAGAATACTTTTGCTGTAGTACAGGGGTGCACATAACTGGTACGCAGGTTATGTGCGTAATCTCTCTGAAATGCGTACCGTCACTTGTGTCACAAAGCGCATTTGCGTACCGACGTACTTGTGAAGCTTTTCCAGAAGGCGGTTAGATCACCGGACGACAGAGTCGGTCTCCGTGTGCACAGACAGGGCTGCTGTTAACGTCGGTCTGTACAACGGAATTGTGCCAAAACTACGCCAACCGGCTGCGGAGGGAGACTCCCCCCCCTTCACTGGAGAACTACGCTAAAACAGCTGATCACAACGTTCACACTCTGTGGTCACGAAGTACTCCACTAGCCCCCCCCCCCCCCCCCCCCCCCCCCCCCCCGTCGACTTTCCTGAACTACTCCCCCGTTGATAGAAATCAACACGTAATGAATTAAGACCCCACGGTTTGATGATTGATAGGTGTGTGGGTTGTCTTTCATTTTGACACGCAGAAAAAAATGTTATAATGAACATAGATACTGTATGTTAAATGGATATATCCGCCTTCTTTCATTTATCTTTCCATTCCCACAACAATATACATAAATAAATGGCATATTTTGGAAAATAGTTCGAATGGTGATTAATCATGATTAATTAATTTTTAAGCTGTGATTAATCTGATAAAAAATTGTAATCGTTTGACAGCCCTAATTTATTTATATGAATACATATATATGAGCACACATTGTCTCACAAGCAAAAAAACCTCAACAGGCCATATTTGACTGGAAACATATAAATGATCTCCCAATAGATTCTAAGGATACCACTGAGCATGTGTCAGAGTTTACTCCTAATGTTTCTACAGTGTCTTAATCTGTACTAATTATGGGATTATTACATTTTTGGAAAATAAGTATGAGGACTGACTGGCCTTACAGCAGGTCCTATTTCACTGAATCTTTTATCATTATCTCTCTGGAGTCACATGGTACACACTCATTATGAACATTAAAAGACTGAAACTGGGTTACAGCTCTCTTGAAAAGTGACAAACACACAAATGTCACTGAAGTGTCTTCTCGTGGGGTTGCAATATTTCCCTTGATCAACTTGCTCTTAAATAAACTAATATACTTAACATAAGTCTGGGTGTCATCCTCGACGGCACACTTTCATTCAAATCTCACATCAGTAATATCACTCGGTCTGCCTATTTCCATCTACGCAACATCAACCGCCTCCGGCCGTCCCTTAACCCTAAGACCACCGCCATTCTTGTTCACACCTTGGTCACTTCCCGCATCGACAACTGAAACTCCCTTCTCTTTGGTCTCCCTCTCAAATCCATCCACAGACTTCAACTGGTTCAGAACTCTGCCGCCCGCATCGTCACCAGAACCCCCTCCATTAACCACATCACTCCTGTTCTTCAGCAACTTCACTGGCTCCCCGTCAAATCCCGTATCGTTTTTAAGATTCTGCTCCTCACCTTTAAGGCCATCCATAACCTCACTCCTCTGTACCTCTCCGACCTCCTGCACATCAACACACCCATCCGCACACTCAGATCTTCTGCTTCCCTTAGCCTCACTGCACCCCCCTTCCGTTTAACCACCATGGGGTCTAGAGCCTTCAGCCGCTCTGCACCCCGCCTCTGGAACTCCCTCCCACCTGACATCCGCAACACTGACTCTCTCCCCATTTTCAAATCACGCCTCAAAACATATCTCTTCACACTCGCATATCCACCCTGATCATTATCCATCACACATCCTCTGTTTTATTTATTTGATTTGTTGCATTGTCTTGTTTATGTTTCTTATACTGGTGTTAGGTATTGTGTATCTTGTTTTTTATGTGTTTGTACGGTGACCTTGAGAGCCTTGAAAGGCGCCTATATAAAATAAATGAATTATTATTATTTATTATTATAACCCTGTATTTCTTTCAGATTTATCATGAAAACTCCTTACACCCAGTAACTTGTATTATGCATTAGTATGCATGCGTCATACTTAGCAGGTTGCTCTGCAATACCATGTGCTCACTTAAATGTGGATTGTCTGCATTGGATTGACACTAAAAACAAACTGCATTGAGTTTTAGACCAGTTTATCGGTTGGTGTTGGCCTTCAGTCTGTTCAACGTGGTCCTGGAGCGGATGGTCCAGTTCTGTTTCACCACCAGATTACATTTCCCCTCGGCCTCCTGCTGGCTCTCAGCATCTTCCCAATCCGTCTGGTTGACATCAAAAATGATCCTCCTGATATGGCGGCTGGTCCACATCAAAGTTTGATAGATAGTTTTAACCGCAAACTTTAAGAGTTTTGAAAACACCCCTAGGAACCACAAATGATGTTATTTAAATTGTAATAATTTGCCTCATTATAGCTTAAGAAGTCATTTACATAAACAGCAACCTTTCTTTGACTTAAAAAATGATAAAAAGTGATTATGTGGTACTACATAGATGACTCTCCACAGACAAATGTAAAAGAGATTCATCCAAACTCCTAATTCTTTGTCTGTCCTTTTGTTTTCAGGCGCCTGGAGTGGATCAGGAGGTGCGAGGATAACATACACCGTCAAAGGGATCCTGCTTGAAATGGGGCAATGTGGATTGAGGTGTTCCTTGTGAACCGCGGAAAAAGAGCAACCACGAGGACGCAGGAACCATTAGTAGAAGGAGGAGGCCGTGTGGGAGCGGCGGCTTTGGTGTGTGTAGAAAAGCTGGTATGGGTGGAGGGGCAATCGCGATGGCGAATGGGAACGAGAGCAGTGAAGGGCCTGCTGGGCCAATAGCAGTGGTGGCTACCGCAGGAGGCATGGTAGCAGAAAGCCCCTCCTCGGCTGTATCTACCTATATTAAACTGGTGCTGCTCGGGCTGATCATCTGCATCAGCCTGTTGGGCAACCTGGTGGTGTCTCTGCTCGTCCTGCGGGACCGGGCCCTGCACAAAGCACCTTACTACTTCCTGCTGGACCTGTGCCTGGCAGACACCATTCGCTCTGCCATCTGCTTCCCCTTTGTGCTGGTGTCTATAAAGAACGGCTCGGCCTGGACCTACAGCGTGCTGAGCTGCAAGGTGGTGGCCTTCATGGCGGTGCTCTTCTGCTTCCATGCCGCATTCATGCTGTTCTGCATCAGTGTAACACGCTACATGGCCATTGCACACCACCGCTTTTATTCGAAACGCATGACATTCTGGACTTGTGTGGCAGTGGTGTGCATGGTGTGGACACTGTCCGTGGCAATGGCGTTCCCACCAGTTTTTGATGTGGGCACATACAAATTTATTCGCGAGGAGGACCAGTGCATATTTGAGCATCGCTACTTTAAGGCTAACGATACACTAGGTTTCATGCTAATGCTGGCTGTGCTCATTCTAGCCACACATGTTGTCTACATGAAGTTGCTCCTCTTTGAATATAAGCACCGCAAGATGAAGCCGGTCCAGATGGTGCCAGCCATCAGTCAGAACTGGACATTCCATGGGCCGGGGGCTACTGGCCAAGCCGCAGCCAACTGGATTGCAGGCTTTGGGAGGGGGCCGATGCCGCCGACCCTGCTGGGTATCCGACAGAACTTGCACAACCAGAACCGGCGCCTGCTGGGCATGGATGAATTCAAAGTGGAGAAGCAACTTGGAAGGATGTTCTATGTGATCACCCTGCTGTTCCTGGTGCTCTGGTCTCCATACATAGTGGCTTGCTATTGGCGGGTGTTTGTGAAGGCCTGTACAATACCACACCGGTACCTCTCCACCACAGTGTGGATGAGTTTCGCTCAAGCCGGGGTCAACCCTATTGTCTGTTTCTTCCTCAACAAAGACTTGAAGAAAGGGCTCCTTTCCCACCTACCAGCTTGCTGCAGGACTAAACCTCATTTGCCACGAGAGCCTTATTGTGTCATGTGATCAGAGAGGATGATCTAAACAGAGAGGAAACACGGGGCAGCCAACAGTGTTGAGTGTTTGCTTGAACTGTTGCCGCATTTCAATACAATAGAAGCTATTTTTAAGCAGTGGTTGCAAACTAGTAAGTGTGATGATAACACTGGAATGGTTAGCATGTATTTCATTCGTCCAACCCTTTTTTCTCTCAAAACCACCTCATACATGGAGTCAGACTTTGACTTTTGATAATAAGAAACACAGTACTTTAATAAGAAAACATGCAAGTGATAATGCAGTCATTATGGAAACCAAGCCAGACAAACACCCAACAAATTACTCAAGCTGCTTCAAAAAGAATAGCAAATTAGAAACATCTAGGGTTGATTCAAAGGATAGGAAGATTCCTACGGGGGACAAAGATAATACAAAATAAATGTTTGTACTTCAATTAAAATGTCACTTACGTGCTGGATTAGTAAGCAAAGCCTTTTGTATAGTGACAGTGAAGAGGAACAGTTCATATCAGCAACATTATGTCACATTCTGGCCAGAAAATAGTCATTTAAGGAAAATAAAATAATTTCAAAGTAGGGGGATCACTGCATTCCTGGAGTCCGCAGAGGCAGCCTCACGGAGTCAGAGGGCGGAGAGATGGGTTAACCTGATCTCACCATTGTAATGAATTATTAATACTTCTATGAAAGCTCTTTACTGAACAGGAAACTGAGGCAAACACATGAGTGACAGGAACACCAGCTCTAAGACCAGGATAATGTGTTTACTTCCTTACTGATTAAGACAGAAGTTATCCATGCTATGACTTATCAAGGTGTCACTAATTGAATTAACAAACACAAACTAAGGTGACTGACATCTTCCTTCTGATACACATTATTATTATTTAGATCTGTGCATGACTTTGAGTCAAGAGAGAGAAAGTGATCATCTGCAAACATTAACAGCAGCTTGTTAAAGTGTTAGCACCGCGCCCAGCTGCATAAAAGGCTTCTCTTAGCCCAGAGCAGATTTTTGTTATAAACAACACAGTACCTTTGGTGTCCGGTAGACAGGGCCATGCTGAGAGCGCTGGTGTCCAGCAGCAGTCCCTCGGCTCTGATGTCTTAATACGCCTAGTTTATCAGAACAGCTTGTTTCTGAAGCATGGGATTCACCTGTGAATGTATGTAAATGTCTGTATTGTGGACCATTGAATTGAAATTCATTTTTATTTCATAATATTTCATGATAACTTTGTGTTCATGTACATGGCAAAGCTTTTTTTCTTGTTTGTCTCTGTCACTTCTCCTCTGAAGGAGTGCTTAAGCGGTTATTCGCCACTCAGTCCTAATATCAGAAGAGTACGGCCATGTCTTCATTACCATGCTGGTCCGGCAACATATTATGTATGCTGATAGACAGTTACTGTCTACAGTGTGTAGACAGTTTTCTAAGCCCATCAAATTAACGTGTGAAGTTCCAAAACACTAAATGCAAAAGATTCAGGAACAATTATTATTGTTATTATTATCAGTCAGAGAAAAAGGAGCTGCACTGGGAGGAGGAGAGATGACAGACAGCAGGAATACACTGACAGGTGAGCCTGATTTCTTTATGATACCCCTTGAGGACACATCCTTTACACCTGTCACACCTGAGAGCAGCTCAATGAAGTCCTGAGCTGTAGCTAGGCTCTGGTCCCTGCATAGCTCTCATCATGTTCTGTTTAAAATACAGTAGATATCAGAGACATGAGCTCTAGGCAACAGCAAGAAAGGGGTGGGGGCCCTAAACACTATATGGACTCTCCCTGTTCACATATAGTCTAGCCAATATTCATCTTTTGGCATTACAGCAGGCTCTATCACACACATTGGTTTTGCTGCTTCACCCATTCAGAGCAGCCAACAATGGGTGCTGCACATCCAGCTAGGACTGATTATGGGAAGGCACTCAATCCAAATTCTGAATCCTATAAATGTCATATACTTACTTTTTAGAATCAACATTATGAAATGAAGTCTGAATTTATAGTTACTTTATACAAATTAAGTAAAACACCAAACAATAGAAACTTTGATTACACACGTGAGGACAGAGATCCACGGACCTGAGGTAAAAAACCACTAGAAAGAACGCAGGTCAACTAAAGTGACCTTTGAAATGTGGTTCTTTGGTAACACTAAAAACCACACCGCTCACAGCCAACATACAGCACAATATGTTGTATTAGCTCCTAAGACTACAAGATGCATCTGAATCAACATCCGCCTGGTTTTGTTTGATGGCACAGTGGGGCCAAAGCCTCATTAAGCATACATCTTCATCACTTCACACAGGACTGAAGTTAGAGGGTGCAGTAGAAGAGACATCTGCTTTATTTGAGTACAAATCTAAAAATGGATAAATGTGCTTTTTTCCTGTTTCTTTCTGAAATGAACTGTAAGATGGGTAGAAATGGAAGGGGAGGACAGGGCACAGAGAATGTCCTTTGTCAGTGAATGTCTGAAAACATGACATTGTCCTTAAGATTGAGGGAATATTGTATTAGGGGTTTGAGGTGCCCCTTGTTCTCTGCCGTGGCATATCTTACAGCCCCAACAACAGCATGCTGCAGAGAAACGCATATCTTCCTTTTATCTTTTCTGAATTATGGCCTTACTCCATTAAAAAAACGTCACACCAATGGAACAAAGAGTAGACAAACGTGTCTCCTCTGTCTGCACTACAATCAGGAGGGGGCAGAACACTGTGTACACCGGAGACATCAGGAGACTCGTTGCTCTCCCCATCAGACCTGGCCCGTCAGGGACCAGGACCATGACGGCGCGGGGGGGGTAGACTGATGATCTGAGTGACCCTACTCTGGATTTCTGTGGGATTTTGTTGAATGAAGTAAAAACATTGAGTCTGTCTATTTTCCTTTCTGAGACTAAGCTTTTTGAGTTGCCTCAGGCAGATTGTCTTTTGTAAATGTACAGTGACCTCTGTATTGTTAGTGTGTATTATAATGACAGCTAATCAACTCTGAAATGCAACAGAACAGTTCCCGATCACCAGATTTGTACTGTGTGTGTGTTTGTGTGTTTCTATTGGCAGGAATGATTGTGTGTGTAAGATGATGGTTACATGAATGGAAGAAGAACTAAGAGGGAACACTGACCAGATACATTTTGCATTTCAATGACATCATTCCTGCTAAAGCTTCTTTAGTATTCTTCATGTGGGCCTTCTCCAAGGGATCCGCTTTTGTTTTAAAAGCAATGAAGTTGACTTTGAGTCCCTTATGTCATAAATCAATTATTAACTTAATATCATTTTTTGTATATATTTAGAGATAATGAAGGAAAAAAAACTTGATATAAATCACATAAATGTGACAGGCTAAATGTGATTGCATACACTGGTCTATTTCTGAATGTTTCATTGAGTGAATTAAAAGAAAGCATCTTAAACCACCAATAATATTGAACAACCAAGAACTGTACAAACCCCTGGCAGTTTCTCTATGACATCAAATCAGCACTAACAAAGTGTTCTTTTCTTTAAAGGTAACACAGAAGGTTCTGCTTGGTCACCGCCATCAGTACTGCTAATGGTGAGATGTGCTAACACAGTGACCTCCAGAGGTGGGAGAAGAACTCAAATCTTGTACCTGAGTAAAAGTAGATGTACCAGAGTGTAGGAATACTCTGTTACAAGGAAAAGTCCTGCATTCAAAATCTTACTCAAGTAAAAGCACAAAGGTATAAGCATCAAAAGTACTTATTCTGCAGATTGGTCCATTTCAGAATAATATATATGATGTGTTTTATAATGATTGATCATGAAAGTGTTCTCAAAGCTGGTGAAGGTGCAGCTAGTTTGAATGACTTTGTATACTGCAGGGTAGCTGGTGGATTTACTCCAGGTGGAACTAAAGTCTGATTCAACACTTGATTATATTTCACATCATTCATCCACATCTGTGAAGTAACTAAAGGTATTAAATACATGTAGTGGAGGAAAAGTACACCATTTACCTCTGAACTGTAGTGGAGTAGAAGTACACAGTAGCATAACATGAAAATAGTAAAGTACAAGTATCTCAAAATTGTACTTAAGAACAGTATGAGTAAATGTACTTAGTTACTTCCCACCTCTGGTAACTCTTGGCAGCTTGGAAACTGACAGGTTTTTGGCAGGCGGACAGTAAGACTGACAGGTTGAACACAGCCTGGCTGTTTCCTCCATCATGACTGGGAACACCTGCATCAGTCTGACCTCCAGATAAAGTAGTTTGGATAAACTGTTGCATTGTCCTGTGTGATCATCTGACAGCCTTTGTGTTATTGTCACACTTTGGTTCGGAGCATGTCGCCCCTCAACAAAAACCAATATAAATGATTGACAAAAAAGGCATACAAAAAAAAACACAAGTAAACAATTCTTCAATGGTTCTATTTTGTCTCAAAGATTGCTCCTGGTCATGTCAGAAGGGTGCAAAGTGTTACCAGAGGCTAGCAGTGCAGCTAGCTGAAGCAGAGGCCAAGGCAGCGTTTGTTTAAAGAAGTCCAGAAAAGTTGAACCCAGTTGTTCCATTTAAAACAGAATTTGGTGTGAATGCTGTCATGAATGTGGATGTGCCTGGGCCACAGCAGTCAGTGAGTCAGATTCACATTGGAAGTCAGTGTTTGGTTGTTCTGCTGTGTAACTGTTTAAACCCGCACAGCAACGGAAACACACCAACAGGAATCACAGCTGCTTTATACAGCGTTTCTGTGGGGAAAACTCCCAATGTTGCCCTGTCTTAGAAAGGGTGCCAGTTCATGAATTATTTGGAAAAAGTTTAATTTAAACCTTAGGGTATACCATTAAATGTCAAAGGTTAAAAGAAGAATGTAATCTCAGTGAATCCGGAAGGCAAACACCTGACATAAAGCAAAAGGTTTGAAGGATGTACGAGGGGTTTCCTCTGACTCAGCATCATGGACTGCAGGTCCTTTTTTCTTTTTAAATGGTTGAGCTATAACGCATGTCTCTGGAAATTGATGACTTTGTAAAAATAATAAATTTCCTTTGAAATTATCATGTCAGTGCTTCCAATAATTCCTGGTTGTGATGGTATATTGCTTTTAAAGATGCATTTTGCATACCAAGCATACATGTATTGTTCCACTCTGCTGTTCATTATTGGTCCAGGTTTTCTGTCTCTGAGATTCTTCTCTCAACACTAATTTAATACCAACGGACACTTGATCCTTGCTCCACAAATGACAGCTCAACTTGCTTTCAATGGCAATCGTGCTTTAAAACTCACCTATTATGCTATATTTCAACAATATATTATAGGCAGGGGTGCACATAAGCTTTTTAGTGAGTTACTCAGATGAGTACCAGGAGACGGCGTTTGGTACTCACCCCACACGAAGCGTGGTGTTAATAAGTGCAGTCCTCCTCAGTGTCTCCTTCACTGTCCTCTAGTTCCTCTTCTTGCATGCTAGATGATGAAGATGCTGCAGATGCAGCTCCCTGTCCCTGTTTAAGCCTCCCATTTGCTTTCTCCAAAACGTGTTGCTAAAGCTGTGCATTTCCTGAGGCCAGGTTGGAGGATCAAATACTAAGAAATGATCACATGACTTGAAGTCATATCAGATGTGGGAAGTAACTAAGTACACTTATTCAAGTGCTGTACTGAAGTACAATGTTGAGATACTTGTACTTTGCTTGAGTATTTCTATGTTATGCTACTGTGTACTTCTACTCCATTACAGTTCAGAGGTACATGGTGTACTTTTCCTTCATTACATGTATTTATACCTTTAGTTACTTTACAGATGTGGATGAATGATGTGAAATCTAACCAAGTGTTAAATCAGACTTTAGTTCCACCTGGAGTAAATTCACAAGCTACCCTGCAGTATACAAAGTCATTTAAACTAGCTGCACCTTTACCAGCTTTGAGAACACTTTAAAGGTTTCCTATCATGCAAAATGCACTTTTGTATGTCTTTTAATCATATGTATGTGTCCACGGTGTGTCAGGGAACTCACAAGTTTTAGAAAATAAAACCCTCTCTCTTTTCCTCCCCACATCTCTAAAAACAGGGGTACAACAGAGCTGATCCAGATTTGCGTCCGATATGACGTAATATCCAGGGGCGGCGGGTGCTGTAGGCTAGGGAAGGCTAAGCCTTCCCAAATATTTGTGTCACTGCATCTTGGTAAAATACAAATATAATGTCTGTGTCTTTGACATTAGCGCTGCTATGCAGCCACCTGTGCCCTGTACTACGAAGCCAGTTCAACATACCCTGGATATGTTTGAGTTAGTGATGGCAGTTTGACACTGAAGCTTCGAACGGAGCTTCAACTCTGGACTTCCTATTCCATAGAAGCAGTGCTTCGAAGCTTGCTTCAAATCACGTGACATATGACGTCCGAAGCAGCAACTGCTTCAAATCACGTGACATGTGACGTCCGAAGCAGCAACTGCTTCATTTCCTGAATGAATCACTTGACTGGTTCGCGGTCCATTCACGCGATTCAATGCACTGCCTCGTCTCTATTCTGACAGGTGACAGGTTGAAACAGTTTCAAATTTGAGCGCTTCAACACTTTATGACCGCTCTAAACAATGCGCAATGTGTGGGTTGTTGTCGTAGTTTGCGTTGTTGCTGTTGAGTTGTTGTTGGTATTGCATTTGAATTGTAGTATCATTATAGAGCAAGCCAGGAAGAAAGATAGGTCGTTCTGGCTCGGGAAATACTTTGAAATGTGGAGAAGTTGTGAACAAAAAGACAATTATCAGTAATATAAAAACAGTTCAATATTTCAAGGAATAGATAGCCCAGTGGGTAGAGCCGGCGGCCCGAATGCGGCGTGTCCTCCGCGCAGCTGGTTCAAAGCCCGGAATGGATGTATTTTAATCATTGCTTTTCAACTTTAATAACTGATAAAAGGCCCTCTCCTCCCAAACATTTTTCCAGCACTCTCTCGTCTCTTCTCAATAACCAAATACACACAATTATCAATCTTTAATTGCAAATATAACATGATATTCAAGGCAAAGATACGTTAAACCCACTGCAGCCTTGCACTTCGCCAGGAGAGGTCGCTGTAACTGAAGCTTCGAGAAATGAACCTATTTCCGACACAATTGTCCAAGTGGTTCGATGCTTCATTCAAAGCTTCATTTTGCCATCACTAGTTTGAGTAACAAACAAACTAACAACAACAAACTAACAAACGAGATCTCGCTAAGCGGTCCTATGACGCTGGTTATCAACTCGGTAAATCAAGCCCGGGGTTGCGTTCCAATAGTCCATTTAGCTTAGGAACCTTCCTAACCAAGTGAAATGACCCGGAAGTCCCTCACTGGCAGCCATGATAAGTGCCGTTCCAATTCTCTAAATGAAAGGAAAGGAGGTTTCAAACTTCCTTTATAACCTCCTTTAGCTTAGGAACCACTGGACCTCCCTTACCGAAAGGAGAGGAGAAAATGCTGCTCCACAATGCATTGCAGCCGCAGCATTTGCCGTCACTCAACAGTTCACGGAAACAACCGATTATGACCGAGAAATTATATCATGAAAGTTACGGTGCTTATTAAGCATTTTAAAACGTATGTGGTAAGTTGCCAAAGTGCTTTTTTCTGAACGTTCATCAGTATTATACGGAAGAGGATTAGGGCCACATACTTTTTTTTTTGTGAGGATTTTTTTTGGGAGAAAAAAGTCAGAATTCTGACTTTAATCTCAGAATTCTGACTTTTTTCTCAGAATTCTGACTTTAATCTCAGAATTCTGACTTTTTTCTCAGAATTCTGACTTTAATCTCAGAATTCTGACTTTTTTCAGAATTCTGAGATTAAAGTCAGAATTCTGAGAAAAAAGTCAGAATTCTGAGATTAAAGTCAGAATTCTGACTTTTTTCTCAGAACAAAAAAAAAACGTTTTTTTTTCAAATCCTCAAAAAAAAAACGTTTGTGGCCCTAATCCTCTTCCGTAGTATTATAATCAAAAAGAGAAATATAAACGTTAGTTTTTACTGAAATGATCAAATAAAGTCAACATTTCACAGTCTTTACTGAGCTGTGTGGAGTTTGTTCAAAAAGATGTTTGAATGGTGATATACACAGTGATAGATGTTAAGGACTAACGTTTATAATAAATACATTTGTATTGATTTTAAGATATTTTCATAGTTCATACAATCATACGTATTGGGATCATTTGTATTAATGTGGACCGGGGGGGAGAGGGTGACGAGCAGGGGCGGCGGGTGCTGTAGGCTAGGGAAGGCTAAGCCTTCCCAAATATTTGTGTAACTGCATCCTGGTAAAATAAAAATATAATGTCTTTGACATTAGCGCTGCTATGCAGCCACCTGTGCCCTGTACCACGAAGCCAGTTCAACAGACCCTGGATATGCTTGAGTTATCTTAACTAACCCTAACAAACGCGATCTCGCTAAACGGTCCTACGGCGCTGGTTATCAACTCGGTAAATCAAGCCAGGGTTTCTCTCTCCAGCTGAGAACGCGTTCACGTGAAAGGGGCGGGGTTAGCTACATTTGACCAATCACAAACAGGGACAAGTGTACTGACAGCGCAACATCATACTTCATTAATGAAAAGTAAACTAATATTAGACAAATATGAACTTTAAACATCCATGATGACTTAAACATATAATCCAGGATACAAGCCCTGCAAGGAGAATACAGAACAACTCGTTAAAAAATAAACTACCGAGTGTTTGAAAGCGTACAACAGTTTTATGATACTGCCCCATCTAAAACACGAGGCGATCTGACTTTATTACATTTGAGATGAGTGTTTCGTCAACTTTATGTGTTGCTTAAAATAATAAGTCTGCATACAGTATGTGACAATGTAACTAAGTGTTGCACGGCCAGATACGGCTCGAGAAGCTGACTCAGATAAGGAAATATTGTGATATCGATGTGAGATCGATGATCTGATTGATGATGTGATGTCAGTGTGATATGAATGATAAGTGCGACACGTCGGCGTCTTCTCTGCATACGGCAGTTTAAACTGCATTTCCTTTTTCCTGTAATATGACTTGATAGATTTAAACTCCGCACACTGAGTTGATCTCTTTTCTATAGACGCCGGTGGCGGACTGCGGTCAAGCCATCCTCCACTTGGGAAAACACAGTCAAGCCAGCCCGCACGTGATATTGGGGTGCGCGAATATTAGAAGCATTACGGTAAAATCCCAGCGCTTACTTGGTCAATAACAAAAGCACCTATAAAAACAAAACAAACATATTAAATTAAGAAATATGTACTATATAATGTGATCAATAATTATTTAAAACAAACTACGTATAACTACCACGAGTAAATGTAAAATGTAAGGAGTTTCAAAATAAAAGTCCTTTGAAATCTCATATTGAAATCTCATATATGAGCTATCAGCCCTGTGTTTAGATAAGAATAAAACGAAATCTCTCCCTGATCCAAGACTCATCTCACTGCAGGGTGATAGAAGGACACCCCATCTACCCACCCAGAAAAAATCAGGACATTCTGATGTGGAGTTTCAAAATAAAAGACCTTTGAAATCCCATATATGAGCTATCAGCCCCGTGTTTAGATAAGAATAAAACGAAATCTCTCCCTGATCCAAGACTCATCTCACTGCAAGGTGATAGAAGGACACCCCATCTACTCACCCAGAAAAAATCAGGACATTCTGATGTGGAGTTTCAAAATAAAAGACCTTTGAAATCCCATATATGAGCTATCAGCCCCGTGTTTAGATAAGAATAAAACGAATTCTCTCCCTGATCCAAGACTCATCTCACTGCAGGGTGATAGAAGGACACCCCATCTACTCACCCAGAAAAAATCAGGACATTCTGATGTGGAGTTTCAAAATAAAAGACCTTTGAAATCCCATATATGCGCTATCAGCCCCGTGTTTAGATAAGAATAAAACGAAATCTCTCCCTGATCCAAGACTCATCTCACTGCAGGGTGATAGAAGGACACCCCATCTACTCACCCAGAAAAAAT